AAAATACTTTTCTATTTAGAAAATTCAGGAAAAAGAAGCAAAGACTGCATTAACTAAATATTTTAAAAATCATAGACAATCCTTTTTTACTTGTCACAAACCAGTTTTTCTATTTCTTCCTTCCCTTTCTTTTCCCTTGTCTTCTCCTTCCTCCTCTCCCCTCTCCCTCTCTCTCCTCCCACCTCCCCTTCTCTCTTCCTTTTTCAGTGCTGGAGATTGAGCCCAGGTCCTTATGAATTACATTTTCATCCTTTTTTTAAAAAAAAATTTTTTTATTTTGAGACAGAGTCTAGCAAAGTTGCTAAGTTGCCCAGGCCAGGTTTGAACTTGTGATCCTCCTGCTTCAGCCTTAGAGTGCTAGACACATTTGCTCTTTGTGACAAGATACCTTAAGCTTGTTGTTCACAGGAGGGAAATCAAGTGTAGATTTTGACTGTAGGTATTGTTTGCATGTCAGTCTTTTGCTTTCTGTATGCTCTCTTTTGAAGATTGTATGTGGGCTTCCTTCAGTAAGTATTGTTGAGAAAATTGAAGAGAGAGGAATGATAAAAGAATCTGACAACCACCTTAAAAGTATGATATTAACTGGAAGTTCAGGTAGTAAATTTAGTTGCATCTCCTGAGTACAAAGCAAAGGAAAATGTATTCTTTTTTTTTTTTTGTATCTCTAGAATGTTATTTGATGAATCATAGAACCCAAACACAAATGTATAGTTCCACACATAATATAATAAGTTTAACATACTTTCATGGTGATTTCATTTCAACCCTTCATGCACTGAAGCCCAGAGAGGGGAAATGACTTCCCCAAGGTTACTTTTTACCTTATGTATTAAAATATTTCACTCCTTCACAGTTTAGGTATTATTTTATGCATGGGAAGATGATGCATACTTGTATTTTGAATGTGGAGTTTATAGTCTGGTCTTGAAAATAGCCCATTAACTAGTTGGCTCAAATAAATAATAATACTGGTGAGGTGATAGAAGGCTGATTCTCTTCACAGGTAATAATTAGCAATTCCAATACTGGGTAAGAGGAGAAAAGTGTGAAAATGATAAATGCCAGAGTCAACAAGAAGGTTGCAACTAAGGGCAAAGGATCAGATTTGGGTACTTGCTGGATGACTAGTCCTCTGCATACACACATTCCTTGATAGCATAGGCATTTTCTGCCCCACATATCTACAAAACAAAGAAATTACGCCAGCCAAACATGTGCATAACTGTAATTTTTAAAACTGCATTAGGAGACTCACTTGGACTTCACAGTGGTCCTCATAATGTGAATATGGAAATTTCTTGTAGTGTGTGAATAGAAGTTCACTTATGTAGCTGGAAAATCCCTTTCTGCTTGGTTTAGACAGTCATTTTTTTTTTAAATGTGCTTCAGCCTATTTGTCCTTATTTTAAGCATAGTAATGCTCACTCTGTTTTAAACAGTTTCCAGAGAAATGTTCAAATTATTTCTTTTATGTAAGGAGGGGTAATGTTGGATCTTTGCAATTTCATGTTTTGCTTCATTAAAAGCATTCTACTTTTTAGTTGACCAAATTATGCTTATATTCATATTTTGTTGCTCATTCAAAATAAGTAATCTATATTTTTCTCCATCAATTAACATGTACTCTGATCACAAATGAAACTGGATAATTAAATTACCCCCCCCATAATTCTGTTTTCTTAATATGAGGTTTAATCTAAGCAGCATTTTCTTCGGTTTATTTTATATGAAGATCATACTCTCTAGGGTAAAAAGTGGCTGAAGGTGACTGGCCTTGAGAAATATGCAATTGCTATGCTGGAGTTCTTTCAGAGCTGAAATGGAGTAATAAAATCAGAAATCATGGAATGGTTTCTAATTTCAAAGACAGACTGTCTGACCTTGCCTATAGAGTTCAGGTAGAAATCAAAAAAAGAACACAGAGGGCCAGGGATTTAGTTCAGTGCTGCCACTGCCTGCCTTGCAAGCACAAGGTCCCGAGTTTGATCTCTGTACCAACAAAACAAAAAAACACAGAGAAGGAAATTGAGTCCCCATCTAGGTGCCATGCAACCACAGAAACATCTAGTAATACATCTGGAATTAGAGTGTGTTCCAGTCACCTTAGGACCCGGCAACTCTCATTAGAAATGCTTTTCTCCTGTTTTTACTTTAGTTGGAAATGTTCTGATTAAATATCTGTGCCTCCCCCAATGCATGCATGTGAACATTCAACAAACACACACAGTTTACTCCTTCCGTACTATTCATTCTTGGTTCTCTGCTGTCCTGAACTAGAGCCTACAATTTAATTTAATATAAGAGAATTCTCTCTTACATTAATTTGTTTCTTTGAACAAGTCTTCTCTTAAAGCTATGAAGGGGACTTGCTGGATTCCCAGGTCCATTGGTTTTAGACTCTGCTACATTTCACCCCTCAAGGAAGGAAACATACATGGATTAAGGGCTTCAGGGTGCTTAGCATTGTTGCATTTGCCAGCAGTGAGCTCCTGCCTCATTTGATTGATTTTTTTATTCTCCAGGTAGTATTTCATGTACACTGACTGGACCCTCTGTCGGCGAGGAGGTAGCACTTTAGTGGCTTAGGCGACTGTTTCAATTTACCAGTATCTGCTAGATGGAAGTTTTGAGACTTTTTTCTTTGAAGTTGTAAAATAAGCTGGATCCATTCAGTGGCTAGGAAGAGGAATGGACCTTGTGAATATGGTCCCTTCCTCTCCGACTCTCTTGCTCTCTGTCTACTTCCTGGCTACCATGAGGTGAGCATCTTTCCTCCACCACACCATGTCTGCCTCAGAGCCAGGAAGACATGCAATTAAACCTGTGAAACTGTGAGCCAGAATAAATTGTTTCTCCTTTAGGTTGTGTCTTTTAGAAATTGTGTCCTAGAAAAAAGTGACTAACATAATTTCCCCACCTGCCAACTGCAGTTACAAGATTCTGAGGGACAAAGAGATGATGAGCACAAAAGACCTGTCCCCAGAGAAAGTACTGGATAAATGGTGGTAGCATCTTTTTTAGTTATGTTATCAGTTGTTAATGGGTTCCTGGTATTTGAGGGGCAGAATCTGGAATTAGGGTTGGTAGAATCAAGTCACCACACTAAAAGTGGGCTTTTTCTTTGAACCCCATTGACGTGCAAAGGGTCAGGGGTGGCCTATGCTTTTGAGCAAGCTGTGGGGTATAGCCACACCTGACTGTCTTTCTGCCCTGCCCTAAGGTCCTCCTTTGTCTCAGAGGCACAGTTGAGCTCTTGCCACTGCTCTTCCAGGTGACCCTCTACTTGCTATGACTCTAGCTGCTCCTGTTCCAGCCACACCTTCTAGGGAAAAAAGGAATGATAGGAGAGGTAGCAAAGGCCACTGTCTGCCCAGAGAGCCATGTTGTGAGGACATTTTGTCCTTCGTTTCTGCTAAGCTCTGCATACTGTCTTCTCTAGCCATCAAAGATGTAGGCAAGGAGGGTAGAGGTCACAAATGTTTTTGTCATTGGAATGCAGGGCCAGGGATTTAGCTCAGTGGTTCTGCTGCCTGCCTCAAGTGCAAGATCCCAAGTTCAATTCCTCATACCAAAAAAAAAAAAAAAAAA